GTCAAGATGGCCTCTGTTACACTGTCTTGTTGCTGGCTTTTCATTTGTCCAGCTACTTAATTACATAGGCTACTTAATTACCTTCTAGGTTGCACAGAAACAGATAGGTGGAGCAGATAGGTGGGGGTTTGCCAGCCCCGCTCAAGGGCTCTCTCTACTGTGCAGATATCCCAATGCTTAATGAGGGCCGGTGATGTCACTTCTCTTGGTTACCACTACACATACATAACAATGTGCATACTGTGTGAGGTGGGTGGAAAGGGTGTGCCATGGGCATGAGAATATTTTATTGAGCAGATTGAGCAGAAGTTTCAACAGCTATAGATGTCAAGGTTTAAAACAAGTAGAATCTAACATTTTTCTTTTGAGTGTGTCCTTTTTGGTGTTTGCTTTTGTTTAAGAACTTTCTTTCAGAGGCTAGGGATTTAGCGCAGTAGATGCTTGCCTAGCTTGCACGAAGCCCTAGGGCCCATCCCTAGCACAGAAGACTCCATCATGCCCAGTTTGTGCTGTGCTAGGGATGAACAAAGTTCATACGTTAAACCCCCAGCCCCAAGGGATGGTATAAGGAAGCAGGGCCTCTGGCTGTGGCTAGGGTACAAGAGTGGAGCCGCTGTGGTGGGATTAGAGCCTCATGAGACAAGATGTAAAACAGTCTGATGGCTCTCTGTCCTTGCTTTCCAACATGTGAGGATACAAGCAACCCTCCTGAGCCAGGAGGGCGTCACTTACCAAGAGCCAAGCAGGCTGGCACCCTGGCCTTACAGAAAGGCTAACCTAGAATCTGTAAGGTCCTTGCCTTACCAAGCAAAGTTCTGTTTTGTTTTGCTGTGCTGTGCTGGAGACAGAGCTCAGGCTTTGCACATGGAGGGAGGTCAGCGCCCCACCTCTCAGCTCAGCAAAGGCCCATTTGTTTGTTTGTATTCTAGCCCATTTTATTTCTCATGGGTTTTATGATTAGTCTGTCATCTACCATGAAAAATCCTATGGGGATTTGTGCAGAAATTTAATTGATTTTGTAGATTAATTTTGGTGAGAAGTGATACAATCATAATACGGAATCTTCCTATTCAGAATGTGTATACTATAAATTTTTATTTGTCATTCCCTGTGTAATTCTTAGGTTTGCCTTAATTCATTTATACAACTGTAGTAAAATGCCCAAGACTGGATAATTTATAAACAATTTATTTTCTCAACGCTCTAGAGAACACAAAGTTCCAGGATCAATGTCTCAGCAAGTTTGATGTCAGGTGAGAGTCAGTCTCTGCTTCAAAGACTGTATCTAGAAGGTGGCATTCTCTGGAGGGGTCAAAGGTAGAATAGACAGACTCAGCCCCACCCCAAGCACTTCATAAAGCCCTCGCCCCATCTATGAGGAATCTGCCCTCACAACTTCATCCCTTCTAAAAGGCTCATATCTAAATTCTCACACTGGTGATTAAGTTTCAGGACATGAAATTGAGAAGCACATTCAGGCCATAGCAATATTGGTTATGAAAGGTCAGGCATAATTTTTCTCAATATATTCTAAGGATTTCATTGTTACTATAAATAGAATCTATTTCCTGTCACATTTTCTAGTCTTTTTGTTCTGCTTTGGAGACAGGGCCTCATGCATCCTGAACAACCTCTGTGTACACAAGGATAACCTTTAACTTCTGATCCTCCTGCCTCCACCTCCCCAGTGCTAGTATTACAGATATATACCACCAAGCCAAGTTTATGCATCATTGGGATCAAACCCATGAATTCACGCACATTAGTCAAGTGCTCTACCAATGAAGCTGCATCCCCAGCCTTCCACCACATTTTCTAATATTATTACAGGTATACAGGAATACAAATAATTCTTTAAAGATTTTATTATTTGTGTGTCTGAATGTGTGCCTATGCACATATGTGTGGGAACCAGTGAGTTGGAGGTACAGGCAGAGATGAAACACCTGATGTGGGTGCTGGGAACCAAACTCTGGTCCTCTGTAAAAGCAGCAAGTGCTCTTAACTACTGAGCCATTTCTCCAGACGCCTGTGGGATACGAATCATTTTTAAGTTGATCTTGAACACAGCAACCTTCCTAGCTCTCTCACTAGTCCTAATAATTTATCTGTTTCATAATTTATCTCTTGGATCTTCTATAGAGCAATCATATTGTCTGCAAATACGAGTAGTTTTTTTCCTCTCCAATTCTTAAAATTTATTGCCTTTATCTGCTTCCATTATAGGTTAGAACATATAAATTGCTGATTTGGGGAGCTTGTGACCTTAAAAAAAATTGGCAATTTCATTGACTTTAACTTAACACATTGCCTAAGACCTCCAGCGCAGGGCTAAATAAAAACAGTGATAGAAGACAGCCTTGTCGAAATCTGACTCGAATGGAAATTGCTTGTAAAGTTTTTTCATTTATAATACTCCAGGTTTATTGAGTTAAGGAAGCAGTGTATAAGGGTTGCATCAGATGAATAATTTGTTAAGGTTACACATTACATTAAGAATTACCTGACTGAACTCACCCCCATATTCTAGGGAGAAAGCCCACATTCCCATGAACCTTTCTCTTCCCTCTGTGCACTGCTGTGCCTGACTTGGTATTATCTTATTTAGAATTTTAGAATCTATGTTCATAATAGACAGTAACAGCTAACATTTATTAAGTTTTATGTGTTCCGGGCCTATTAAGCAGCATTAAGGTACTTTCCATGACTTATTTCCTTTCATCCTTCGAAGGCCTGCTGGGAGGCTAGTTCCTCTGCTTAAATATGAAGGAATGAAGGTAGAGAGAAGGCAGTCACCTCTTCAAGGTCACATAGGGGATTAGTATGTAGTAAAAAAAAAAACAGTTATCAGACTCGGGAGGTCAGAGACCCATCAGACAGACTGGCCTACAGTGCACTTTTCTTATAGGTCCTTGTTCCAGCTCAGCACCAAGGTTATGCCACCTCCTGGAAGGTAGCTGGATACTTCTACCTCCTTTTCTCTTATTTAAAAAACAAAAAATCTGGGTCTGAGGAAATGGCTCCATGCGTAGGAGCACTTGCTGCGCAAGCATGAGGACCTGGGTTTGAATCTTCAGCACCATGTAAACATCTGGGCGTGGTTCCACGGTCCTGTAGCCTCAGCCCTGTGGCACTTGCTGACCTCCAGGCAGCTCCAAGTACAGAGAGACCCTGCCTCAAAGGAACACAATGGAGAGTTATAGAGCAGGACCTGAAGGCTTCCTCTGGCCTCCATATTGACGAATGGTAGCATGTGCATGTAACTGCACACATATGTCTGCATGTACCACGCAGGAGGATCAACTCTTGGTCAGGCTTCTGTAGAAATATTTTGCCTAGAGTGAATTCACCCATTCTTAGTTTATTGTCTGTCTGATTGCTTAATTTGCTTGTAGCTCTTTGTTTGTGGGCATATTCTGATGTTTTATACATCTGAGATTTATAGAAAAACTACAAGTACCACACAAAGAGCTTATTTCACTGTGTCGTTTAAAAAATCATTCCAAGTTGGGTTTTTTACAGTTTATTAATTAATAAATTGAAAGCCAGCAATCTAATCGCATATGTAAGAAACCCCGTGGCAGTAAAATGGATGTTTCTTGACTAGAGGGCTTCACTTTTTAAGAAAGTTTACATCTTGTGCCTTTTAAACTTTTTGTGTTGGTATATATTAATTATTTTTTAGAATAAGTTTGAGCTGCTGGGTATAGTGGCACATGTCTTTAATCCCAGCACTCAGAAGGCAGAGTCAAGGGGATCTCTGAGTTTGAGGCCAAGTTCCAGAACAGCCTTGATTACATAGTGAAAACCTGCCCCACTCCAGAAAAAGAGTGTTCACTATGATATTGTCATATATATGTAATGTATGTATGTTATGCTTTGGTCACATTGATCAAGTACTCTCTTTTGTCTCCTTTTCCATCCCTTTGGTCCTTTGTCTTTTTCCAGACTCCCCATATGCTCTCTCTCCTCTTCTACCCCCCCTTGCTATGGCACATCAAAGATAATACATACTCTAGACAGCCAAGGCTGTGGACAGCTAACAGCAAGCAGGCTTTCCACCCCTCCCAGCATCCCCTCAAGGACTGGGGTGCACTCTGGCTTCAACGAAGAGTCTGCTAGTTCCCCTTCATGGGAAGTCCCTACTGTTGCTCTTAGCTTCCAAAGTGCCCAGGTCACAGGTGTCAGCCCTCTGCATCTTTCCTGGGTTTGGTTCTGGAAGATCATGAGCCCAGTTAGGTCTCAGGATTCACTTTATGACTCTGACCTATTGCTGCTGCCGTTTAAAGAGCAGACCAGTCACTCAGACCTAAATCCTCCCGACCATCCCTAAGAGGGAAGGCAGTTCATTTCATCAACTTCGTTTTGCTTGTTCGTTGGCTTTTGTTTTTAAAAAAAAACCTGGGCCAACACGTTAGGTTATAGCTAGAAGCCACTGGTGAAGGTGCCTGGACCTCTGTCTTCTTTTGGTATTCTCTCCTCCAAGCCCTGCTCTGCTCACTCTGTCCCTGAAGCTGCTGGCAGCCTCTAGAGAGGAGGTTGGGGGCTGGGGGAGCCAGCCTTGGCTTTAGCAAGCCTCCCGCCTGAGAGGGTGGTGGTGGTGGTGTGTGCGTGGGGGGGGGGGGGGGGCGGGTGTCCCTGTGGCACTGACGCCTGTTTTGTTTTGTCCTGTAACTCTAGATTCTGAAACTTACCTGTGGACCACCTAGAAGGGGAGAGATTGCTTTTTTGCAGTCACTCAAGTTGCTTCTGGTATGCCCAGTCTAAGCCGGTGAGGGGATGCAGCCAGCCCACTCTGACCTTCCCTCAACCCGTAACTCCCAGTCTCCAAGGAGACAAGAGCTGGTCCACCTTCCTGAATGCCACACACTGCCCGACTCCTGAGTATGGGAAAGTTTCAGGACCAACATCCTTAGCCACAGGTCCCAAAGGACACACCCAGTCCCAGGTCTTCCCTTAACTTGGGTTCAGTGCCCTGAATGGGCGGGACCCACAGCTGCTTCCCTGGCGGGCGCGCACGGGCTCCCCTGGGTCCTAGTGCTGCCTGTCAGACATACTGCCGACCAGGACAGTCGCTCATTCGCAGCTCCAGTGCAGGGTGACCTGCAGCCACCGGGTCGGCCATGAGGGGCACACCCCTGCTCCTCGTCTTTCTGTTCGCCCTGCTTCGGTGGCGTGGTGAGTTCTTTTCGGGGAAGGAGGGAGGGACAAGGGTCGTGGTGTGGGAGGAGTGGCCCGACCGGCTGGAGCGTGGGCGGGGCAAGCCCTGTGGGGTTGCAGGCAGGCCTGGGTGGTGGCCAGGTGAGGTTTGGGGTCCCCACCACCTTCCTCTGCACTGCAGGTCACTATCGATGGTGAGTGTCTTCAGGCTAGGCAGTTCAGCTCTGTTCCGGCGCTAAGAGATCCCCACCAGGCCCGCAGAGGATCTCTTCCTCTCCAGTGAAGTGACAAACTTGCCAAACTATAAATGTGTGGGAATAAACCTGCTGTTTGGCAAGAGAGTTCATCCCAACACCACCATCCCATACGTGGAAAGTATTTTTGCACTTTGGGAAATCACATATATGGCAGGCACTGCCTCCTCTGGTTCCCTAACCCTGCTTAGCTGAAGGCAGGTTAGTGAACTTGGGTCTGCACTTCACAAACCTATCATAGACATTGGAAGACAGACCTGCGCAGCCCTCATCCCCAGGTTCAGCTCAGACATCGTGAGAGTCGTTTCTTCCAGACTCAGTTGCCCTACCTAAATTCCAAGGTACTGTGTAGCTTCTTTGTCTCCCACCTCACACACACACACACACACACACACACACACACACACACACACACCTGTGTCTGAACCAACTTATCTTCTGAGCCCCACGGAACCCCGAGGACCAAGGCTGCATCTTCTGTCCACAGAAACCACCTCCAGAAGGTGCTAGAACTGGGAATAGTGAGCCATTCAAGATTTCCTGTTCTTAACAATTGGCACAGTGTGTATTATGGCTTTGGGTCCCTGCTGGGTGCCCTTATTCCATTACCCCCTCTCAATTTCCGTATCTGTTCCACGGCAACAATCTGCCTTGCCTGTCATCTGGCAAACATTTGCAGTATTTCTGAAGTGCGATCCCACTAGGGTGTCTGCATCTTCCTGTATGGACTCCTGGCCCTGAGCGCGAGGGATCTGAATCTCTATAAATAGGGCTTGGGACTCTGCTTTTGTGTAGCTGGGTGATTCCTACCTGTGATGGGAGAAGCACTGATAGTCTATGGCAAATCTCTTCTAAGAAAGCGTTTGGCCTTTCTAAGATGCTTCCCTTTAAAAGCACATACCTTCACCTGAGGAGCCCTGCCTTTCAGATGCGCACTTGCCAATGAGAGTCTATTAACCGTGACATCCCCAGACAGTAAATAGCTTTCCACTTCTTGATTGGATTTGCATTCTCAGACTGGACACACCACAAATGTTTACAATTCCACTACAGTCTCTATCGGATCCTTAACCCCTTAAGGATCCACTACAGTCTCTATCAGATCCTTAAGCCCTCCTGCCAAGGAAAATCTACAAAAGCAAGACCCTGGGCAAAGGCCAATGGGGCCACTTTTTACCAGCATCCTTGTATCATGATGACCTCTAGTGGTGGCTTCTCTGCTTAACCATTTAAGAATTTGCTCCAATGAAAGCCCTACTGAAAGCCCTGCCAGTTCCTCAGAGGCTGGGGGTGAGCAGGCCCGTTCCCTATCTTTTATCTGACAGACTCTGGTGAGCATTAGGAAAAGAAGGCAACTCCTAAAAGTGTCCTATTGGGGCACCCCTCCACTTTGTAGGTGAAACAAAGGGATGCATTCCGGTTGTACCAGCCCTGCTTATAAGCCATTCCACCCCTCCGTGTATCCACAGACATACTAACAAACATGCACCCATGATAACCTTAGCAGGGCAGCCTCCCTCTGGGGCAAGTTGACAGGGGTCAGGGAGGGCCTCTGTGTTAAAGAATTCCCTGGACATGGATGGCATTGTCTGACTTGCTAGGAGTCCTAAGCGGTCTAGGCCAGTGGTTCTCAATCTTCCTGATGTTGAGATCTTTTAATGCAGTTTCTCATGTTATGGTGACCCCCAAACATAAAATTATTTTTGCTGCTACTCCATAACTGTAATTTTCTATTGTTATAAATCAATTATGTAAATGATATGTTATGTAAATATCTGATATGGAGGATATCTGATATGTGACCTCTAAAGGGGTCATGGCCCAGAGATTGAGAACCAATGGAGTCCATAGCTGGTCTATGAGATGGGAAGAGTCTGTGAGTCAGATGAATACTAAAGAGAACGAATTGAAGGTGACGAAGCTAAGTACCCCAGGTGGGCTCAGAGATCATGCATAAGCCCCCCCCCCCCCATTACCCGCCGAGCAACCTGGAACCTTTGGTCCAGTTGCCCCAGCCTTCTGGGGCAGCAGAGATGGATCCAACCTCCCCTGACATTGCAGGACTGGAGGCTGGGAATTGCAGAGCCTACCCCAGTGCTGCCAGAGAATGCCAGGTAGATCTAGATAAGTCAGATTCCTCTCTATGAAATGAGAGGTCATCCTAAATAACCCAAAGACTGTAAGAGGGACCAGGTATCTCCTGTATAAATTGGCCCCAAGGGTATTTAAGCTGGTGGCCTGTAGAGAGGGAATTCAAGATGTGAGGAGCCAAGCTCAGCCTCTAGTCCAGACATCCGCTGGACAACCCTCCCACCCGACCCCCAACTCAGCCTGGGGGAGGGGCAGCAGGCAGCAGGTGTGCCGGGAGCATCTTTCTCAAGGCACTAAATATTGCATCTGTTCTAGATAGGCAATGAACTGGAAAGTGCATGGAGCAGGCAGGGCAGCGGCTGCTCACGTAAACATGTGGCTAGCCCAGCCCCCACCCAGAAGTCCACCTCACATTTGCTAGACTGGAGTGATTCATGTTCTAACTACTCTGGCTCCGTCCAAAGAGGGGCGATTTTGGGAAGATGTGAAGGCTCTTTAGGGGAAATATAATCAGACTCCTGGGCTTGGTGAGACAGGCAGCCCCTCACCAGTACCCCCATCCCCACCTCTGTAGCCGCCTCCTCCTCTTTTAGCTTTCTGCCTGCTCTCCTGCCCCAACAGTGTTTCCTCCTTCCACCCATCTCTTGTCCTGCTCATCCAGTTCCCATCCCCCACTCTTTCTGACATGGTGTCCTTAAAGATACCATAGCACACAACCATGTGTATGTTGGAAAGTATGTTGGAAATGAAAGTCCTTACATTTCACCTTCCCTCCCAAACACATGAGGGGCAGATGAAACAAAGACCCAGATACCACTTGGCAAGCAATCGAGGATGCACAGGGAAGACGGCATGGGGTGTGAGTGCTCCGAGGGATGACGGCTGCCTGGGGCTCCAGCTCTGTGCTGGAGCTGGTCCTGAATGTGGCTTAGAGCCAAGAACTCTGTCTTACCAGAAAACAGCTGCCAGCTGGGCCACTCCATTTGGTGTCTCAAAGAGACCTTGTGTTCTATAAGTCAAAGTTCAGATCCAAAACAAGCTCCCCTAGACCCACCCTGTTTTCTTTCTTATTTTCTTTTTCGTGTGTGTGTGTGTGTGTGTGTGTGTAGTGTTGCAGATGTATATTGGTGTCTTTCTTGAGCACTCCCTACCTTTATTTCTTTGAGACAGGTTCTCTCGCTGAACCCTAAGTGTAACATGATGGGGGCCTGTTTGTTTGGGGGTTTTTCTGTTCCGCCCTGTCCCCCAGCTATTTAGTCCCAGAGAAAAATCACACTGAGATCTCTATAAAGCTGACTGGTCCGTTAGGTCAGGCTTCTTACTGGCTAACTCTCAAATCCTGATTAACCCATTTTTCTGATCTATGTTAGCCATGTGGCTCAGTACCTTTTTCAGTGGGGCAGCTCACATCTTGCTGCTTCAGTGATCTGCGCAGGAGTGGCGAGAGAGCTTCCTGTCTGGTTTTCCCGCCTATACCTCCTGCCTGGCCAATCAGCATTTTATTTAAAACATGATTGACAGAATACAGACAATTCTCCCGCACCACCTAAGCTCACTAGTTTGGACTAGACTGGCCAGCCAGTAAGATTCAGGGATTTGCCTAGTTCTGTTCCCCACCCCCTCGCCAGCCAAGGCTATTTTGTGTGGGTTTGGGGATTCAAACTTGGGTCCTCTTGCTTGTGTGTCAACTCCTCTCAACTTACTGACAGGCCCATCTTTTCCAGCCCGAGTTTGGCTTTTTATCCTCCTCTGGGAAAATGCTACCACGCGCCCAGTCTTCAGACAAGCCCGCATTTCAGGACATGTCCTCAGTACAAGCTGCCCACATGCCTCCCTTGGGGGCCGGGAACGGCCCCTGGGGTTTGCAGTTAGGTTATCCTCCGCACACAGCACAGCACCTGGTACAGACTCCACTCAGGCCTTTGGGTGTTGTTGGGCTGGGAAGTCCTGGCAGAAGAAGGAGTGTGCTCAAAGACCCAGAAATGAGATGCGGAAGAGGCTGGCAGTTGAATGGCCAGAGACAGAGTCTGGGGTCAGTGAAGGTAGAAAAGTGAGGGGGAAAATATAAGGCGAGTAAAAAGAAGCCATTGCTAAGGACAAAGGCCTCAGGCCAAGCCAGAGCATTCTTGATTTAACCACCTTTAGCTCAGAGAGGCTGTGGGTGGGGCAGAACCCCCTCCCAGTGTTCTGCAGGGAGACTACCTGGCTATGTAGAGGCAAGCTAGGGCAGGTGATATAGGAAGAACAGGGAGACTTCCGGGACAATCCAGGGCAGGAGAGGTAAAGGAAGGCAGCCAAGAGGGGAAACAGGAGGGCAAACAGGGAGAGTTGGGGAGTAGAAAATATAGGGCTTTGCGGCCCTGTGGGGAGAGGGAGAGGGAGAGAAGACAGGAAGAAACAGATGCCTGAGCTTGGGCCTGGGTGTCTGGAGCATGGAACACCGTTCACTTCCAGGAAGAGCTGGAGGAAGTGGTCTGGCCCAGAGGAAAGAATGACCCAGGCAGGCCTGCTGGCACCTACTCCCTCACCACAGTCCTGAGGGCTCCTGCTCTCTGCTTCTCACAGCCCCCGCCTCTTCACAGCTGCAGTAGGGTTCCTCTAGACCAGGGCCCGGCAGGTCTGACTGTATGATTTCCCAGGGGACTGCCGCCTGGCCAATGCAGAGGAGAAGCTGATGGATGACCTCCTGAACAAAACCCGCTACAACAACCTGATCCGCCCAGCCACCAGCGCCTCTCAGCTCATCTCCGTCCAGCTGGAGCTATTATTGTCCCAGCTCATCAGTGTGGTAGGTGCCTGGGCCACTGTGGCTTGAAGCTTAGCAGAGGACACAGGGCTTGTTTCTGATGGCCCTCGGGGCCTTGGGGAAAGCAGTGAACCAGGGTACGGGACTGGGAATTAGATGATTAAAATGCTACTTCTGACCTTGCCAGATGGGTAACATCCCAGACCGCTAATCTTTTCCTCTACTATTTCTGAAAACATATATTAGTGTACATATTTGATCGACACAGAGTAATTTTCTTTCATGGGATACAGTGGGACACTGCATTCATATATGTAAGAACCATGTCCAGGGTCATTGGCATACATGGAACTTCAGACATTTGTAATTTCTTTGTGTTGGGCATATCCCAGATTCCCTCTATTGCTATTTTGAAATATCCATTTAATGATTACCAGCCATCAGTACCAACTGTGTGTCTTGCTATCCAGCTCCACCCCATGCCCATCTCGCCATTCCTCCTCCCTGGCACAGCCTGTTGTAAACAAACACTCAACACTACTTTTCAGACAATCAGGCCTTTCCCTCATATCTATGTGCTAAACAATTTACCTAAACCATGAACGTGCTGAGCAGCCTTCCAGGTTAGGATCCTTTCAACCAAAAATGTATCGTCTATCCACATGCTGTTCTTCTTGCCTGGGATGCCCTGCCCTGTCTGTGCACCTCTGACTCATGGTTGGATTTGAAAACCCACACTCTCAATAGCAATGAAAAACGTCTTGTCATGCAGTAAGAGGACAGCCAGCTGAGAGTGGCTACAGCAGAAAGGTTGTCTATCACTATCCCCTAACCAGGAGCAGACCGATGCTTGCGGTGTTGGCTAACTCAATAATTCAGTGATGTCAGGAATCTGGGGTATTGCAGTGATGCCAATAGCTATGGGAAATCTTCCGGATCTCTTTGGGACAACAGCAACAACAAAACTTTCTCAGAGTCCTGCCCTCTTGATAGACACGTCTCATTGGCCAGGGTTGGTAACTCACATCCAAGCCTAACCAATTATTGGCCAGAGAAATAGAATTACGTAAGCTGGTTTAGATCTGTCAGTATGTGGCAAGGAGGCTGGAGAAGGTCCATGCTGTGTAGTTGTCAAAGAGGAAAGGGTCAGGGAGAACTACTAGGTAGGCATCCTGTGGGCCCATCATGGACTCTGCTCACCAGGTCTCCAACACTCATTGACTCCAAGCTTGCTAGGGATAACCTCCCATATGGCTAATTTAGTGGGGGAAATAGGAACAAGGCCAGGAGAAGTGTTGGGTACAGAGGTTCAGGGGTGGGGCTGAGAACTGTGGATGAGGATCCGGACAAGCCCAGGAGGTGCTACAGGTGTAGTAGAGAGGGTGACAGCCTTCCAGGTGTCAAAAGCTGGGGTGAAGCAAGAGAGGATGCTGAGGAAGGTGAAAGAGATCGGAATTTCCTCCCCTGCTCCCCACAGCTGTCTTAGAGTAGGGTTGTCTGAAGGAACCTTCCCAAGTCCCAAGGGTTAGAACCCTTGCCCCTAGAAGCAAGTCTGAGGAAGTGAGCACATAGGTGCTGTGTCCAGCCATCAGGAGCTAACTGAAGAGATGGGCCTCCTCTGGGTAGTACCATCTTCCCTCCCCCCTCTCCCTGTAGCCCATGAGTCCTACATGCTCAGATTCTACCATCCGTAGTGCTTAAGAAGGCTTTGCCCAAATTGGTAGCTGCCTCTATCCCTTAGGAGGAAGCCTAACCCCAGAATGGGGAAGGCGCATACACCCTTTCCCTACCATAGGAAGCTGAAAGCAGTGAGGGCTTCTGGCCAGGCCAAGCCAACACTACTGTCTGAACATCCCTGACCTGCAGAGAAAGGCCTTGTGCTTAATCAGGCAAGGCAGCTGCCTGCTCTGGCAAGAGCAGACAGGCAGGCAGTTCTGGTCACACTGTTAGGCTCAGGCTGCCCCTGCCAGATCTGAGCTGTGGGCCCTGTGGAGTGATAGAGGCTTCCAGAAACAGGAGAGAGCACAGCCCTCAGCTTCACTTCTGCAAGCACCCATGTGGGCTGTCATAGTCCCAAAAGCCATGTCTAAAGGAGGTGCTTGGCTGTAGGAGGGAGGGCTCCTTTCTGGATTTTTGGGAGGTATTTGGTTGTGAGGAGGGAGTTTAAAGATGGACTATCTAGGGACTAGACAAGGGGTTTGTGCTGGAGGGGCAAGCAGGCTGTCCCCATGCTTCCTTTTGTGGAGTGACAGCCAGGGTCCTCTACTAATATTCTGTCACATGCAGCAGACTCTAGAGAGAAATGTAAGGGGCAAGGCAAATACATAAGAGAAATTTCTGGAAGATAGAAAAATCTCATATCTTGAAATGAGGTAAGAGGCTGGGGAGCCAGTTCTTTGAGGACCAGAAATTGGATCGCCAGAGCCCACTTAAAAGCTAAGCAGACACAATGTCTACCTTGGGAAGCAGAGAGAGAGAGAGGGTCCCCAGGGCAAGTGGGCTATGTAGAATAGCTAGAATCAGTGAGTTCCAGGTTCAGCGAGAGACCCTGCCCCACTAAGTAGAGACGACTTCTGTTATGAAGCCTGCGTATACACTTGCACATGTGTGCACCCATGCAGGCACACACAAAAACAAAACAATTTTTGCATTTGTGAAAACTGGTCAGGAAGTACCCTGATATCAGTGCGTTCACCGTGGAAACCATGACTCCACAGAAAACAGTGTCTTGTTCAGGGAAAAGCTCTCTCTATGCAGCCCTGTCTGGTCTTTAACTCAAGAGCCTCCTGCCTCGGCTCCCCGGATGCTAGGGTTATAGATATGCACTAGCATGCCTTGCTTAAAAATATTTTAAAAAGATAAATTAAGGTTTCCAGCTTTCATTGATGGTAGAGATGCTGAGAGATTAGCTCTTCTGGAGAAAATTAAAAGGGCTGGACAAAGTGCTGGAGGGCCGGAAGGGATCTGCTTTAAGGTAATCGGAGGCCTAGCCAGGACTTGAGTGGCTCGGCTCCAGAAGACTACCATGGCAGTCTATGGGACTTTCCCCCACCCTTGATGACTGGCCAACAGTGTCTGGCTGAGAAGCTAAGACCTAGAACAGCAAGTGGCAGCTGAGGAGCTGGGGAACTGGGCTGGTGCCTGGGTCATCCCAGGGCTGAAAGGATGCGGGATGGTGGTCTGGATCTGATCAAGGACTTGGGACCCTGACGGGGCTCCCAGCAGGGTCACCCTAGTACTGAAAATGAGCAACAGAAACAACAGAAGCTCAGCCCTCATAAGAGACAGTGTTCCTTTCAAACTGGCTCAGCTGGACTAGATTAGGGTGATCCCCTTTGCCTCCTGCTGTAGAGCCTCGGGAGGTAGGTGTGAGCAGGTGACACCTTGTAGGCACAGGGAATGGGGAGATGGTGCAGTCAGCCACACAAACATGAGGACCTCAGTTCAGATCCTCAGCAAGTTGTCCTCTGACCTCCACTCTCATGTCATGGCATGTACATGTATGAGCATACATACAAATAGATGAATGTAAAAAACGTTTAAACATTTAAGTTTTATGCTAAGTGTATTTTGCCATAATTTAAAATAAAAAGGACTTTTTTTGTTTTTTGAGACAGAGTTTTTCTTTTTCTTTTGTTTTGGATTTTTTGTTTTGTTTTTAGAGACAGGGTTTTTCTGTGTTGCTTTGGAGCCTGTCCTGGAACTAGCTCTTGTAGACCAGGCTGGCCTCAAACTCACAGAGATCTGCCTGCCTCTGTCTCTCGAGTGCTGGGATTAAAGGTGTGCACCACCACCATCCAGCAAAAAGATTTCTTAAAATGAAAATAGCTGTCATTAATATGTTCAAGGAATGATAATGGGAAATTTCTTGAGAGAGCTAGGAATTTTTAAGAGGAACCAAAGGTGATTTTTAGAACTCAAAACATATAAGAACTTTAAAACTCGCTGAAAAAAAAAACTTATCAAAATGAGACAGCAAATACACATCTTTTCTTCCTCCTCCTCCCTCACGACAGCCTGGACCGTGGGCAGGGTGACTGGAATCCCACTGGTCATCTCGAACTTGTAGATGAGGGCCACACCCTAGTGTGACAGCAAAGAGGGCTGGAAGGAAGCTGGATAGTTTTGTAGAGCAAACACACATATGTGTGAAAAATATCACATCGTGTACCAACCTTTGTCCTGATGCAGTTACCTAGTTGAATTGCTTGAGGAAGTGAGTACCATGCTGGAATCAGAACACCGGAAGTTAGTTATCAAAGAGGAAGCAGGGAAACATTTACAGAGAGCACAAGATGGAGTCAAAGAACTAAGGAAGGCCAAGAGGGCTGGGGCACAGAGTAAGGGAGTCCAGGGCAGTAAAATGAGGCTGGGGGAGTTACTCATGTAACCCTGGAGAAGAAAAGTGACCTGAATAGAGGTAAGATTGAAGGGGAAATAGGAACTTGAGCAAACTCATTCTTGCTGCAGGAGAAAGTAAATGGGGGAGTGTGTGTGTGCGTGTGTGTGTGATGCAGAATAGATTTAGATCAATTAGATTGTTCAGTGGTCCAGGTGAGGGATAGACGGTACTGGACCATATTGTGATAATAGAATTAATTTATTCATCCAGAGCTATTTACCAGGTATCCCACATATCCCTGTTGCTCACAGCTTTTGTTGTCTCCTTAGAGTCCTTGGATCCTAGTGGGAGGTAGGGCTAGAACACAGGATGACGGATGGTATCCAGGCAGAAGTGTTGTGAAGACAGTGCAGGGTGTGCCTGGTGAGGAGAGGCGGGGTGATAGTTTATGTAGAAAGGCTGGAGGTTTCTCTGATAAGGTGACATTTCTGAGACTTGGAAAAAGCTAAGTCAAAGCTGCATGAGTCTCCAGTGAAGGGAGAGAGTGTGTGCCAAGTCAGAGGTGAAGAAACAAGCAAGGCCACCGTAGGGCTGCAAATGCAGAGGCAGGTGTATCACAGGCCCTGGGTAGGACTTCGGCTTTTACTCTGGGTAGGAGCTTGAGAAATAGTAGATTTCCCAGACACAGAATCCTGGTCTAAGGAGCTGAGATTCAAGGGACTACAAGAATACCAGCTGGGGAGCTACAGCAGTTGTCCAAGCAACAGATAATAGCAACAATGGAGACGGAGAGAAGGGGACAATTTTGAGTTGTAGGAAATACACCTGAAAGGTTTGATAGACCAGGAAATGGTGTACCAGAACTTCCGGGGGTGGGGGAGAGGTGGGTCATGAGCTTTGTCTTTGATGTGCTGGGTGTGAAATATCTTTGAATTATCTAATATGGTTGGAATGTGAAATGGTCATGTATAAGAACACTTGGTCTCTAGCTAGTGACACTCATTTGAGAATTTGTGGGACATTTAAACAGTAAGGCCTGCCTGGCGGAAGTGGGCCACTGAGGTGGGTTGTTTATAGATGTTAGCCTGGCTCCTACTGTGGGTGTGAATACCTATCATCCATTACCACCATGTCCAGAACTAGCCACAGTTTCCACAGGAGAACCAAAGCCCCAGCTGCTCTGCCTCCCTTGCCATGAAACTGTTCTCCCCACTTAGCCACTTGTCACGCATTTGGTGTCAGTGATGAACAAAATACCTAATACAGAAAATTGGAACTGGGAAGCTGGCTTATTGCTGAGATAAACCTGACCAGGTTGTTCATAAGCCCTTGGAACTGAGTTACACAGGGAATTGGGGGGCAGTATGCATAGCTACAGAATCAGAGAAGCCTTAGCATGCTGTAACCGGAGGTTAGTAGATCATTTGGGTGAGACCAGAGGAGAGGGGGTGGAGGGAGCGATGGAGGGAAGAAGGGAGAGAGAGAGAGAGAGAGAGAGAGAGAGAGAGAGAGGGAGAGGGAGAGGGAGAGGGAGAGGGAGGGAGAGGGAGAGGGAGAGAGAGAGAGAGAGAGAGAGCGCTGACAGGAAAAACTAGGCTCATGAGACATCAGAAGGGAACAAAGATCAATTGGGAGCTAGACTACAGGCCATTTGTGCTATATTCTGGGGGGAAAAGAATCTGGTCTGTTTTGCCCATGTCCCAACTATTTGAATTTAGCTACATTAAAAAGTTATGAACTAAGTTGCTTGGCAGAGGAAATATGAAGGTAGTATAGCTTTCCTGTCGTGGCAGGGTTATTGTTTACTGTGTTTAATGGGCTTTATAATGAAAATTCAAGCCAAGAAGATCTGAAAAACATACTTGGGAGCGAGACTCCGCCCACTGAAGGCCCCAGCAAGTTCATTTGAAAAGAGAGAGCACCAACTAAAAATGCCTCTGCAGGGCTTTCCTGCTCAAAACTCACCATCCAGGAGAGTGTCTTCTTGGAGCCAGCCATAAAAGGACAGAGTTGAGAGCAGCTATGTTGGAAGGGGACCTTCTTAAGCTGGCAGCTTGGTCTTGGTTTGTCAGGAATGGAAGATGTGAGCGTAGCAGGGTTATGAAACCTTTCTCAAGGTTTCAGAAAGCTGCTGAGGCAGGCAGTGCATGGCACGATTGAACTCTCTGTCAGGGTCCCTGAGACACCTGCGTGAAGCTGCGAAGGTAAAGATTAAATTTCAGTGGAGGCCCTAGGATTTCGGAGACGGAGAAAACACAGAACACTCACCAAGGAAAACTGCAGGCCAGTGAGTAGGGTAGATCGGAGCCACAGAGCTGGAGGGACGGGGCTGTCTTCCACCTTTGGAACCCAGATGACAATAAGAGCTCCCGAATGCTGGACATGGAACTACAAGATTTTGGGTTTTCCCTGTAATGTTTCAGTCTTGCTTTGGTCCAATCTTTAAAGCTTTATTTTTATTTTATGCATATGGGCATTTTGCCTGAATGTTTGTACCTGCATCAAATGCTTGCCGTATATGTAGAGGCCAGAAGAGGGCGTGGAGCCCCTGGGACTAGAGCTACAGATGGTTGTAGGTCATCTTGTAGGTGCTGGAGATCTTACTCAGGTCCTCTGAAAGATCAGCCAGGGCTCCGAACCATTGACCCTCCTCTCCAGCCCCTTTGGTCCTGTCTGTCCTTGCTATGCGCCCATCTCTTGCTTTTTGGATGGGAATATTCATGCCATTCTGTGTTGGAAGTAACTTATCTTTTGATTTTACAGGGACTCATAGTTTAGAGAATATCTGGAACCTTAGAAAAGACCTCAGGCTTTTACAGTGTTGAAACCCTAAGACTATGTAGCCTTTTGAAGTTGTATCAAGTGCACCATTGCACCCTAAAATGGCCAGGAGCCTGCCTTGATATAGACTGTCCCACATGGGCTCATGTCTTTAAATACTCGGTCCCCAGGTGGCTACACTGAGAGGTCATGAAGCCTTGAGGAGGTGAGGAGATAGGTTGTCCTGAGCAGGCTTGTGGAGCGACGCCTATCCCCAGTTCTAGCTCGTCTGTCCCTTCTTTCCACCTGCCCCTACAGTATGCCAGACACCAGCTCCACATGAAGTCCGGAGCCCCAGCCACCACGCCACCCTCACCAGGAAACTGCTAAAATCAGCTCCTCTTCCCCTGGGCTTCTTGTCAGCGTGTGGTTGCAGCAATGCAAAAAGTCACTAATGCGTTACCTGAGAGCTATTTAAGTGACAGCTGGTCACACAGGTCAGGGGCTCAGAAGCGTTTTGAGGTAAAGCATTGTCCATTTGTGGGGGGCCTCTCTTTCCACATGAACTGATACCCTCATTTCCCTCCCCAGAATGAACGAGAACAAATCATGACCACCAACATCTGGCTGAAGCAGGTAAGCGCCTTGGAGGGTCCCCAGCCTAGGTGATGTTTCCTCTGGGGCTGCTCTTTGGTGACAGAGCGGACCTACAGGTGACGTGGCCTTGTCTGTGTTCTCAGGAATGGACTGACTACCGCCTGGCCTGGAACAGCTCCTATTATGAAGGGGTGAACATTCTGAGGATCCCTGCAAAGCGTGTCTGGTTGCCTGACATCGTCTTGTATAACAAGTGAGTGATGGGGTGATTAAAGTTAGTGAGGGTCAGGCCAGAGCAGCCAGCCAGCTCTCAGGGCCAGCCATACCTGAGTTTAACTCCATTCTTCCTCGTCTACACTCCACTCAGACTTCTAGGCCATGGAGCTAGAGGACTAGAGTCGATGGAGACAGAGACTTCTGAGTGGGAGGGTGGGTAAGGAAGCCCAGAGAGGAGACAGGCCTTGTCCTGCTCAGGACAGCAGGGAGTGGGCCAGCCTTCAGACCCTCGGGCTAGTGCCCTTACTGTTCCTGCCTAGCTGTTTTGTCTTTTTGTGACTGGGTGGCTTTGTCAGAGTTGGGGGCTGCAACATTGACTTGTCATGTGTCGATACCGCTGGCACATTAGTGTGGTGGCAGTTATTTGAGAGGCTGAGGCAGGAGGATGAGGGACCCAGGAGTTTGAAATCAACCTGGGCAAAGACAGCAAGTGTGAGAGAGAAAGAATAGACAACCAAGGCTCAAGCAAGATGAAGAAGGTTCATAACTCATCTCTGCTGCTTATTAGTCTAAGGAGCTCGATAACGTCCTCCAGCTTCCCCAAGCCTTGCTTTCCGAGCTATAAAATGAGGAACACAATAGAAATGTTGCTTTCTTGGACTCTCATGAGGCTTTAACTGAGCTAATTCCGTGAGAGGCCTTTGGTGCCTCATGGTAGGGAGTTGCTGAGAAAAGCAGACCTGTTTCAGTGAGGAAGGCAGATAATCCCAAAGGACTCTTGGGGGCTATTGAGAACAAGCCAGTCTTCTTCTATAGATTTGGTGACGTTCTCCTCTATGCCCTGCCCCACCCCAGTGCTGATGGGACCTACGAGGTGTCTTTCTACGCCAACGTCATCGTGCGTTCCAATGGCAGCATCCAGTGGCTGCCCCCTGCCATCTACAAGAGCGCCTGCAAGATTGAGGTGAAGCACTTTCCCTTTGACCAGCAGAACTGCACTCTCAAGTTCCGCTCCTGGACCTACGACCACACAGAGATCGACATGGTCCTTAAATCGCCCACGGCCGTCATGGATGACTTTACCCCCAGTGGCGAGTGGGACATCGTGGCCCTCCCGGGGCGAAGGACAGTGAACCCGCAGGACCCCAGCTACGTGGATGTGACCTATGACTTCATCATCAAGCGCAAGCCGCTCTTCTACACCATCAACCTCATCATCCCCTGCGTGCTCATCACCTCGCTGGCCATCCTGGTCTTCTACCTGCCCTCGGACTGCGGGGAGAAGATGACGCTCTGCATCTCCGTGCTGCTAGCCCTCACGTTCTTCTTGCTGCTGATCTCCAAGATTGTGCCTCCCACCTCCCTTGACGTCCCGCTCATTGGCAAGTACCTCTTGTTTACCATGGTGCTGGTCACCTTTTCCATCGTCACCACTGTCTGTGTCCTCAACGTTCACCACCGCTCCCCCAGCACTCACACCATGGCTGCCTGGGTCAAGGACTGCTTCCTGCACAAGCTGCCCACCTTCCTCTTCATGAAGCGCCCGGGTCTCAAAGTTAACCCAGCTGGGGCCCCTCATCCCAGCCAGTTGCACCTGACCTCAGCTGATGCTGCCACTACCTCTGCCTTAGGCCCCACCAGCCCATCCAACGTCTACGGGCATTCCATGTACTTTGTGAACCCCGTCCTTGCCGCTCCCAAGTCTGCCGTCGGCTCCCACACAGCAGGCAACCCCAGGGATGCCCGCCTGAGGTCCTCGGGGAGGTTCCGGCAGGACCTACAGGAAGCTTTAGAGGGCGTCAACTTCATCGCCCAGCATCTGAAGAGTGATGACCAAGATCAGAGCGTAAGTCACCAGCCCTTCCCCTACCACCCGAGTAAGCCATTCCAAAGGGAAACGTTTTATTATGGCTTCTTAGGTGAGGAAGAAACACCGATCTTTCGGTGTTGTGCCTGGGTTCTCTCAAAGCCAAGTCTGAGATGGGGTTTAAGTACGGGTAGCTTACTTGTGATGTAACCCTAGGAAGAACACTGAGGGTGTAGAGAAAGCAAACCAAAGGGAAGGATATCAGTGAGCCTGCTGCAGTGGGTACAGCATAGAGACCCCCCAAGGACCCAGACAACTAGTCTCAGAATCATCTGGATGGAGGCTGGAGTCTTTATCCCTCAGCTCCCACCCCCTCCAGTTGACAGGAGCCCTGGAATGTGATCTACCCTATCTTCCAGTCATGCCCAGTTGCCAGAGCAAGCCCCCTTTGTGGTAGAGGGAGCCCTGAGGTGGAGCAGAGAAAAGCGGCATGCCCTGGAGATGAGGGTTCTCAGTGGGTGTGAAGGTGGTTCAGCCATCCTAAGAGAGCACAGCTTGGGTTGGGTTGCATGGGGCACCTGCTCCTACCTTTTCAGAGTTGCAAAGAAGCCCTGTGAGGATTTATACCTTTCAGGAGCATAGAAACATCGGTTAAAGAGTTACTGCTACCAGGCTGATGCATTCTTATGTAGGGCGATAAGAATTACAGATTTTCTAAGTGAGGTTAAGTTCTCCTTCACAGGACACCTTGAGTTCTGATGCCTGTGCATCTCAACTGACTCCTCTGAGCCAAGGGCACGTGTGTTTTAGTTTCATTCTGTTGCTGTGACAAACACCACAATCAGCAGCAGCTTCAGAAAGAAAGGAATTTATGTGGCTTATATTTACAAGCCACAGGAGCTCAAGGTAGGAACCTGAAGCCAGGCCTGCTTGCTCTTCCAACAGAATTACCCCTGACTCACCAAGAAGAATAACAGAAAATCTTGAAGGAAGGCTGTTTGCTGGCTCACTCACAGATTCATGCTAAGCTGGCTTCCTTATACATCCCAGGCCACCTGCCCAGGGAATAGTGTTGCCCACAGTAGACTGGGCCCTTCTATATCAGTTAACAGTCAAGACAGTCTCCATGGACATGCCCCAAATTCTCTCTGATCAGGCCAATCCCTCAGCTGAGACTCCCTTCTCGGGTAATTCAAGGCTGTATCAACGTGGCAATGAAAACTAACTAGAATAATGTAAAAGGGAGATTTTATAATAAAAAGCTACATGGAGACCGTCATGGCTAGACCTTCCTATGCATTTCTCTACCTGAAAAAGTGTGAATCATAAGCCCGAGAATGTTCCCATTTCAAGGCAAATCATCTCAGATTCCTTAAACAGCATTTTATGTTGCAACGTTGTGTCTCCCCACTGGCAGCTGCAGGAACAGAAGAGGATTCCTCCCTTCTTGCCCTTCTGCAATCCCTTCCCACCAACTAGACTCTCAGGAGAGAACTCTGGTGTTCAGTTAGTTAGCACCAACTGTAGCGCACAGCTGCCCAGAGTCACACTGCGAGGAAAGCAGAGAATGGCTAAGAAAAGGAATAGTGGACCTGTGGGTCACTGGCCTGCTGCTCAGAGAGGAGCTCCCAGTCCTGCAGCAGCCTCACCTAGAACGTGTTAGACACCAAAATTTCTAGTGGGCCTCCAACTTGGAATTTTAACCAGATCTCTGAGGCCTCCTGGGCCCATTGCAGTCAGAAGCACACATGTAATTAATAATTCTAGTCTTTCTTTCTTTCTTTTTTTCTTTCTTTCTTTCTTTCTTTCTTTCTTTCTTTCTTTCTTTCTTTCATTCATTCATTCATTCATTCCCCTCCCCCATCTCTGTATAGCCTAGGCTGGACTTGAACTCCTGTAGCTAAAGGTGACCTTGAACTTTGAAAAAAAAAAAATACTAACTCTTTACCCTTAGAGCCAGCCTCGTTGTCAACACCTATTCGCTCCGAGCTGTGCTGTGCATCGCATTCCTTCTTGTGTGCATCAAGATTCATACTGAATCATCAATTCTCACCTGCTTCTGTGTCCTCTACCACTTCAGTCAAAAGCACACAAAGTGCTAATGGGCTTTTTGTTTGCTGGTTAGGTTGGTTGGTTGGGTTTTGTTGTTTGTTTTTGAGACAGTCTTTGATGGACCCCAGCCTGGTCTCAAACTCACTATGTAGCTGAGGATAACTGTGAAGTTAATACTACTCCTCCTGCCTGTGCATCCCCAGTGCCAGGATTTTAGGCATGCACCCCCACCTAACTTTGATTCTGGTACTGGTGATCAAATCCAAGGCTTTGTGCATGCCAGACAAACAACCATCACTAAGCCACATCCCCCGGACTGACCTTGGACTTGATCTTCCTGCTCCTGTCTTTCAAGTGCTAGAATTACACTTTCGACTGAGTCAGGATTTCTGGAGAAAGCGATAGAAGCCACCTTTCAAACTCCTGTGGGGTCCTGTGCACATCTTGCACTCCTGACTGAGCTAGCAGCCCCCACCCTGAGCTCTTTTTCCTGAGGACCTTACCACCCACTTGGCACTGGCAGGCCTCGTCAGTTAATAAGGAGCCCCAAGAGGGAAGGAGCCAGACAGAACTCGGTGGAATTATAAACACTTGTGTTGTGTACCTGTGGCGTCAAACGTATCAGGTGCTCTGGTAGGAGTGGGCAGACAATCCTAACTCCTCCAGGAATCCTGGGAAGTAGCTTTTACTAGAGCCCATATTTCACTAATGGGAAACTGAGGCAGAGAATAATCCTCTGACTTGTCTGGTCACACAGCTGCCATCCTGAAACTCTGGGCCCCCTCTGAGGGTCTTGCCCTGCCCTGAGCATGTGAAGAGCTTGCTGACTAAGGGATTTCCTCGTGTGTAGTTAGAGATCTGTTTTTCCTCACACGGCAGGCCCACTCTAAGCCATCCCAGGAATGGTTTCTCATCCCCAGCACTTCTGCTCTCCATAATGACTAACTGGTCACTGTAAGTAGCACAAAACAGGAAAGATGGGAGCATGCTTGTTGCTAAGGCTGTCAAAATGAATTCTCCAACCCTAATAACACAGTGCGGAGCGGCCGCTTGCCTTCCCGACCTTAGGAACAGGAACAATTCGTGTTTGAGGGAGTGGAGTTTGATCTGATTTAGGATTATCCTGGAGTATAACACACAACATTGATGAAGCCCTGGCAAATTGGGTCACTGACGTCAGCTTGCCCGTTGCTGCCTGGGGTTTCTAACTCCTGAGTCTTTCCTGAACACTCTCAGGCTGGAATGGAGGAGGGAGGGCAGGATGCTGGTCACATGACCACTCTCCGAGGGTCTCTCAGAGCACCGAGGAGGCAGGCACATCTATGGTGGTGCCTTTGGGTGGAAGCCAGCCAGGTTTCTGCTGGTGTCACACCCCACGGCTGGGTCTGAGCAGAGGAAGGGTGTGCAGAGCGAGAGGGTGGGAATGCCAGAGAGTCAGATGATGAGGCCAGAGGAGGCGGAGACTTGATCACAGGAAACAGCAGGCGCTGCTGGAAATGAGTGGAACTCATTAAACTGTGGGGTTCCCAGGTGTTCTGCAAGCTCTTGTCAGGCAGGTGGGCCCTCATCTCCCTCTCTCCAGAGCCAGCCAAGATAGACAGTTTGGGGTAAAAACAAGAAGAGGAATCTAGTGATTCCCTGAACCGCAACCTCCTTTACCCATGACCAGATTTGGCTTTGAAATCCCCGTGTGTGATGTCTTTAGGTCTCTGTTTCTTCATCCATGGATTCCTCTGACAGTGGGTAAAATAATGGGTAGAAAATGTGTCTGCACCAACATGTGTACTCCCCTCCTTGTCAAGTCCCCCAAATACAGGACACGGACTACTTACATAGCATTTACATTACGTTAGGCATTCACATGGCCTATATAGGCCTATATAGGCATTGGAAATACAGGGGAGGATTTCTTGATGTCTTAGGTTTATATTGCTGTGATGAACTCCATCACCAAAAGCAACCTGGTGTAGAAAATTTGGCTTACATATCCTGAGTCATAGTTCACTGAGGGAAACCAAGATTGTAAGTCCAGGTGAGAACTGAAGCAAAGCCATAGAGAAAAGAAATCCTGTCCACTCGCTTGTTCCTCGTGACTAACTCAGTCTGCTTTCTTCTGTGACCCAGGACCACCTGCCCAGGAGTGGCCACACCCACAGTGGGCTGGACCCTCCCACATCAATAATTAACCAAGAAAATGCCCTGCAGACTTGCCTGCAAACTAGTAAGATAGAGGCATTTTTTTTTTTTCAGTTGAGATTCCCTCTTCCCAGAGGACTCTAGCTTGGATCAAGTTGTCCAAAATCTAATTAGGATGCCTGAACTGTGTGCAAATATTGCACCCTTTCTGTGAGGTCTTGAGCAGCATCAGGGTTGCGGTGTACAAGGGGACTCTAAGGAGACTGAGAAACAACTGTCCAGCCCAAGTTCTGTGGTTCCGCTATGTCGTCCTCCAACCCTGGTCAGGTAGAGTGGGGTTGAAGAACACCAGGAAAAGCACCAAAGTTGCCTGATGGAGGCCAGCCTTGGACTCAGATCCTGCCACGCCTATGCATGATTCCAAGCCCTGTATCGCCTGTGGGGTCCTAGCCAACAGGTGAAGAAGGTGTGATTCAGAGGGAGGAAGTAGTGCTTTGTGCTTGACACCTGTAACCAGTGTCCCCCCCGGTCTGTCTGCAGGTCATCGAGGACTGGAAATTCGTAGCGATGGTCGTCGACCGCCTGTTCCTGTGGGTGTTTGTGTTTGTGTGTATCCTGGGCACGGTGGGGCTCTTCCTTCCTCCCCTCTTTCAGACCCACGCACCTTCCAAGGGCACCTAGGCTCCCCAGCGTGCCAAGGGCCCCTGGGTTACAGTAAGATGATGTGAGAAGCCAAGTGGGCAGTTCACTGCTTCCTCTGGGTCCCAGCTATTGAGGCCCTAAGTAAAAACGTGACCACTGGCAGTCAGCCCCATGAAACCAGCCACAGCCGTGAGAAGGACAAGGATGGCTAGCTTGCACTGTCCCCTCAGATGCCTTTGAGTAAGTTCCCAAAGGAGTGGGTTAGGCTGTGGACGTTCAGCCTGGCCTCCTTCCTTCCCTGTGTCTGGCCCTGGAGTCAGTCATCCGAGCAGCATCTGCTGTGCCATGTACCAAGCCATCACACGCCAGCCTGCCTTTCCATCCATCTCCCTCCACCCCCAGCTGCCCAATAGATTCCTGGCTCTTCCTCCATCTCCTCATGCTTCCAGATCCCCAGGTCAGAATCTCTATATCTGCTGTGGTTCCTGCCCAAATCCTCACACGCTTACTGCCCAAGGTTTTCACATGGCTGTTCTAGTCAGGGCTCTGCTCCCATAATCCTCTGCTCCATTGTCATGTCTTGTAGAAGCCTTCCCTAGTCGTACATTCCGAAGTAGTGTCTCCTATGACGGCATTAAACTTACAGCCTGTTTGAATGTCCCCCATTGGTACCTACAGCTCTTAGTTGGTGGCATACCAGTCACCTATATCTTGCCCATGGGAGTGTGTGCTCCACAAAACAAGGGCTTGAGACAGCGCTCTGCACACAGAAGGTGAAAAATAAATATTTGTTGAATGAATGGATGGCTCCTGTTTTCCTCCAAACTCATGTGCTTCTTCTGAGTAGCTGTCCTTGGTCTCCACCTCTAGAAAGCGTGTCCTTCTCTGGACATCACTCTGGTTGCTTTCTGCCTTTACATCATGGTTGGTTCAGGCCTGTCTCTGTCACACACACACACTCACTCACGGTTGGTTCAGGTCTGTCTCTGTCATGTGGTTCAGGTCTGTCTTTGTCATACACATATGGTTGGTTCAGGCCTGCCTCTGCCCCTGTCTCTCTCTCTCTCTCTCTCTCGCTCACTCTCTCTCTCTCTCTCTCTCTCACACACACACACACACGGTTGGTTCAGGCCTGTCTCTGTCACACACACCGATCTCCATTGTTGACACGCAAGCAAGATATTTCTGGAATTAAGGAGACGATTGTTAAAATTTTAAAGATGTTTTGTCTTCATGTATTTGTGTGAACCATGCACATGCCTGGTGCCCCTGGGAGGCAGAAAGCAACTCTGGAATCCCTGGAACTGGACTTACAGACATGAGCCACCATATAGGTGCTGGGAATCAAACCTGGATCCTCTGGAAGGCCAGTCAGTGCTCCTGACTATCCCCGAAGAAGAATATTTTAAGGAGTTTTGTTTTCAGAATTATCATAAAGCTGACTTCTTTGTGTATAATCCTTTCAATTTTAACGAAGTATATATTTGCATAACCACCGCTGCCACTAGGGCAAAGGAAAGGGGTCTCACTCACGTTCTGCTTCTGTTCTGTAGCGTGTCATGCCCTGCACACTTAGCCCTGGCACCCCGTACCTTCCCTCCATCGCTCTAGTTCAGACCCTTCTAGCTTACTGTTTGAATAGAGACCTACCGGGTGTAACCTTCAGAGACGAGCTTCTTTCTGCTGCATATTTAAAAAGAACTTCCTGGGGCCAGTAAGACAGCTCAGTGAATGAGGGTACCTGAATTTCATCCCTGGAAGACATGTAAAGATGGAAGGAGAGAACAGACTCCACAAAGTTGTCCTTCGGCTTCCATGTGTTCACGCACCCACGTATGAGCATGCGCAAACACACACACACACAGAGTAAATAAAAATCTTTTAAAAAGCACTTTTATTGAAGTATAATTTACACACCATAAAATCCACTCATTTTCAGCGGACAGTTCCGTGAGCTTTAGTATGTTCATCATCTCTCTTTCACACTAACAAGGTCCCTAATAACCATCAAGGAAGTCTCTGTGTTCCAAGCCATCCCTGGTGGGGGGGCCAGAGAGGCCAACGGACCCCAGGGCACCTACCTTGTCACTGCCTATTTCTGGGACACCCAGGCTAGCAGGTGGCAGTGAGACAAAGGAGGGTTTACAAGGGTCAGGTGGAAAGCCAGATACTTTCTCTCTATGCTTCACTTTCTTATAAAAGTATTTATTTGCTATACGGGGGATCAAAACCTGGGCTTTTGCTAGGCAAGTCCTCTCCTGCTGAGCTGGAACCTCCAGCATTGTTCTAGGTTTTATCAAGGAGCATTCCTAGCATAGTCTAAATAAAGAGAAAAATATAAGACCTCCCATATGTCATCACCCGGCCATGATAACTCATCGCCAATATTGTTTTGACTCCAGTCCATCTATTTCCCCTTAACTATATGCTGTATGCATGTATTATACACACCAGTATCATACTGAAAATAGTTACTTTAAAAACATCAACTTCCACAGTCTCCTTTTGAGTTGTGCTAGACCTGGCCTTGTGGTGGTCCCCCAGCCGTCCTCGGAGCTGCTCGTGCCCAGGAAGCCCTGGCCAGAGATTTGGTCCTTTTGTCCTGCCACGGTGACAGTGCCTGCTCCAGTCTGGTCCTTTGCCTAGCGGTTTCTAGACTCCAGGGCAGCTCAGGGCGAGGCTGGGACCCGACGCCCCTCCCACCTCGGCGGGTGCAACTCTCGCCTCGGCCTCCCCGCCCCTCGGCAGCTCGCAGTGCAGTGTTTAGCTGCCCGGGCTTCGTGCGTTCCGGGGTCTCAGGTGCACGGGAGTTCGGCGACCCGAAGCCGGGAAGAGCCCTGCGGTCCCCGCGCCCGCACAGCTGGGCGTCGGCGGTCAGCACCCGAGTGGATTCCGCCCGGTCCGCGCGGTCTCCAGACATGGACGCTGTGCCGCTCTGGTCGCCGCTGTCGTTGCTGCTGCTGCTGCTACTGTCAGGTACGCGCGGGGAACGGTCGGGTCAGGAGCCCAGGCTGGCGGTGGGCTGGGGGCTCGCCTGTGCGAGGCTGCAACCCTGGCCCCGGCTTTCCACACCGCTTTGGCCACCAGCCCCTTAGAAGTCTAGGCGCCCACCTGCCTTGGGTCTCAGCGTGGTCCCACGCTTCTGACAGTGCACGCGCATCACCGTCCCTACCTCGCTGAGCCCCTTGGGTGCTTCCTTTGTTCCCAAGCCTCTCAGTGAGCGGAGGCGCGTGGTGAGCTCAGAGCCGGCCCTCTAGGTCTGAGCGGGAGTTAGAGGTTTGAGTCATGGTCCCGAACGTCCCGAACGGCACCCTGCTGCAGGAACCCGCAGTCCCACTTCCAATATCTGCCTCTTGCTTTGGTTTGTGAACCGTGGGAAAACCTGTGGCCAAAGAAGACTAAAGACTTGTTTGAAGCTGGAGCTGGACCAACGCTCTGGTTCTGGTCTCTGCACAATGACCGCTTTGCCTAGAGATCTTCGACATGATTGTTCCTCCCAGGCTGTCGCAGAGGCTCTAGGGGAGCCTGTTAGCAGGAAGTCCTTCCAGAGACCCTCGGTGACTGACTGGTGGATGAGGCAGAAATGCAGTTACAATTTCCTCTGAAGGCGGGTAGGGTCTGCACTTTAAGCGGGGTAGGGGGAGCTTGCATCATTACAGTCTGCACTCCTGTGAGGGGGCCCACCAAAATCACGGCCTGAGGAACCCGGGTTATACTTCCCCCAAAAGACTGTCCCTCGACTGACCCCCAGTACTGTAAGTAGGAAGCAGCCGACAGCTTGAGCCAAGATGTCTCACTTAGTTGGGGTGGGCTTGTGAACAAAAAAGGTGTCCAGGAGCCTCCGAGGTAAGGAGCTGGAGCGAGGACGTGAAGACAGCACTGGCAGAAAACCGTGGGCACCTTGGCTCCTAAGACGTTCATAACCAAACCCGGGCAGATTGTTGGAGGATGGAGGGAGGGGCTGAACTCTCCCACATAGTGGGAAGCAGGTCTGGCCTAGGGAGACCCTAAGTGGCCCTGCCCCTGTCCATGGGTTGGGTGAGTCATCTTTCTACCCGAGCTGCAGGGGTGCCTTGCTGGGAGTAGCAATAAAGGTTTGAGCCTCTAATAGTTCTTTCATTACTGTTGTTGTTGTTATTATTATTAAAAGCACAGTTGGGTGACTTATGTAAAGAAAGGTTAGTTTTATTAAGAAAAAATATCTGGTTCAGCTGGTAAAGACACTCACCACCCTGCCTGATGTCCTGAGTTTGATTCCCAGGACCCTCATGATGGAAGAAGGAGAGAGCTGAGTTTTAAAGGGTGCCCTCTGAACCCCACACACATGCACCCCTCTCTCATAATGTAATAAAAAAATTAAATAAGAACAAAGGTAGTCTGCTTAAATTTAAGAGAGAGGAGGAGAGGGAGAGAGAGAGAGAGAGAGAGAGAGAGAGAGAGAGAGAGCACTAAGACAATGGCAGTAACGCGCACAGAAGTGTGACTGTCTGAAGAGAGTCCCATCAAGCTAACAGTTCTTGAGTGCCTGCCACAGGTCCCTATACCAAGCACTTTACCCCCATTTTTGAGGTGCATTCATGCATACTCTTCATTTTGGTAAATTCAAAGGAAAAAAACAAGGTTCAGAGAGTTTAAGTTACTAGCCTAAGCTTACACAGCTTCTCATGTTTGCTGGGCTTCTAAGCCCCTGAATGTGTGGGACCTGGTAGAATTCTTGTCCTTCCTGAGCCCCAGTTTCCCACTTTGTAACTGGAAAGCATTATTAGCCTGGAAGCCCGGGTTTGCAGAGTGTCCAGGCAGATGGGAATCTGTAGGCAGGATGTCTTTGCCGAGAGAGGTAAGCAACCATTTCCCCAGGAACTGACAAGAATGCCTCCCTCAGTGGCCAGTGCCTCAGAAGCTGAACACCGCCTGTTCCAGTACCTGTTCGAAGATTACAACGAGATCATTCGGCCTGTGGCGAACGTGTCCCATCCCGTTGTCATCCAGTTTGAGGTGTCCATGTCTCAGCTGGTGAAGGTGGTAAGTGCTGGAGCCACAAGATGTGGCCGTGGGGTTCTCCGGAGCCTGCCTGGAGTCAGCCTTATTTCTATCATTCACCTGTCATCTTCAATCGCACTTTCTAGGATGAAGTAAACCAGATCATGGAGACCAACCTGTGGCTGAAGCAAGTACGTGCGCGCAGACTCTGTGTACTGCTGCCCCCTGGTGGTAATCGCTTTATTTGCTGATGGGGAACAAAAGGGGCTGCCGTCTGGACACTACTCCTGAGGACCCTAGTCAGGGTCACCCCACTGCTCTGAAGGATTGACTCCTCCCGTTACAGATAGACAAGCTACAGCCTGGAGAGAGAATTCTCTCCATAGTCCCACTACGAAATTGGACATGTTGGGCAGCGGTGGCTCACATCTTTGATTCCAGCACTTACATGTCAGAGACATGTGGATCTCTGCAAGTTCAAAGCCAGCTTGGTCTACATAGAAAGTTCCAGGGTGTGCACGCATGTGTGTGTATGAATTTGGAGGCCGGAGGTTGATTAAGAATATCTTCCTTGATTAGTCTTCACATCACTTATTGAAGCAAGGTTCTTGCTGAACTTGGAGCTGGATGATTCTGCTGGTCTAGAGAGCCAGGTTACCCTGGGAATTCCTTCTCCGCCCCCTGGGATTGTGAAATGGGAAGGTTGTGCGGGTGCTGGGGGCCCAGTTGTCACATTTACACAACCATTACTTTATTCACGGAGCAACCCCCTCTTGTCCCATTTGAGACAGGGTCTCAGTGTAGCCCAGTATGATGGCCT